ACAACAGTCTTTCTTGCAGAGACGACGTTTTATTAGACGCTACAACCTTTGTAAAAATATGTAAAATAAAGTAGTATTAAAGGCGAATACCTCTAATAAAAGGTCATCTGTTCAATGGAAAACTGCTACTCCTAGTGATTGGAGATGACGAAAAGTGAAGACAAGTTTCTTCTATGTAATTTTTTTTATTTAAATAGAACCATTTCCCATAGAACGCCTTCAGTTGGCAAATCTTCCATGTATTGTTTTATCCCATCAATCAACCCATAGGAAATCAAGTAATGCAATATTTGTTTTTTTTCTTTAATTTTCTGACATGAATAACACTTATTTCTTAAAAGTTCTTACACAATTATGTTCTCAAAAAAAATCGTAAACGTCAAGCATACTCTTTGATTATTGAAAAAAAATCACCTGGAATTTGTCCTTGTCTTTAACTTGATTGATCAATTGATCAATCAAGGTAAAAGCAATTTAATATACAGGTGAATTTAACTTATATTCGAGTCATTTGCCAGCTTCGTGTACTACTATTGAATTAATAAGATGAAATTTATCCGATTCTGTAATTTCCTCGAATTCTAATCATACAACTAAATATGCGCTTTATTTTCGTTTATCGGCTTGTCTTCATTATATTGTTCATTCTGTACAGATGTATTGTTTTATTACCCTATACGTCACATCCTGATGGCATAAGTGATATCTTTAATAAAAATAGTAGGCATTCATTGGCACAGTATATCACGACCTTCAGATCTTATCTCTAAAAGAATGAGGAGTAAAGTTGTAAACAATTCATTTCCACCTACGTTTATTCTATAATTAAACACCATGCTGGTGGTCATATATTCTGTAACTTTAATAAAGAAAAATTAGCAAAACTTATAACAATTTACAAAATCCAACAGTCAAAAAGCAAACAAATTTCTAAACACTTAAAATCAGTTTCCTTCATTTGACAATCCCAAAACGAGTAGAATTACCACGTGGTATACAAGAGAAGTGTATATCCCTGGAGGGCCCAAAATAAGGAACTACGGAATTTTTTCATGAGCATGTTACGGCTGTGTTCGACTCCATTGTGGGCACAGCTGGGTATAAGAAAAGGCCCTCTTAATATCCATAGGACGGAAAGAGGTTATAGAAATCCTAGTTACCAATAAGTTTGTACATGTTTAGCGCTTCTAGGAAAAGTATTCATTCCTGGCACTGCTTCATAAATATTACCATAAAATTAAAATTGGACTGGCAATGTATCGGCCTGCTCTGTAGTCAGAGCAGGCCTTTACAAAATTTGCTTCGTCGTAAACACTACATAATTAAAACAACGTTTAATCCCAAATTGAGAATGCAGTGGGTCAGTGATATCCAGCAAAGCAATAACTCAAAAGTGGCAGACATAAATTCTATTGTCTCGAAACGCAATCCTCATGGGTTCGCTCTATGAAACAAATACATTGCATCCAAGTTCGCCTGTCCGATGTCACCAAATATTTCGTTACAAACCAAATAATCCACGTTATTTTCTCTTTCTACTAGGAACTTTCATTATATGCACTAGATAGAAAAATCTGGTGTAGCTGTGTATTGGCTGAGAATTCCCTCAAGGAATTAGAGGAGAAGAAAAAATCGATGTTAAATATTAATATTACATAATAGACGTTAATATTAATATATTAATGTCTATTCTTTTCTTCTCCTCCTATAGTCCCTTGAGGGAATTGTTTCTGAATGTTTGTAAAACTTAGAATTTCGATTATAAAATATTTATTCTGGTGGCAGAGATCGTAAGGTCACCCATCCTCCTGTTTTGAAGAACCTGAGTTTGAACCTAGACAGGATCTTCATGGATGATCTGATCCGGATGATCCGGCACATTGCACAATCTTTCAGGCTGAGCTGTTCGCCATCCTGTGTGCACTTCAGTGGTGTGAGGAGACATATGGTAACATCATCATCACCATTATCACTGATAGTACCCCTCTTCATTTAGAAAGGCACATGACCAAGGTAAACATTACTCATAAGAAAATGTTATCCTACCATTAAGGATATACTTTGGGCGGACGTTATTGCCAAATGGTAGGATATACTGGGACTCCATCACCTATCAGTTTTCCCCAGTATCCAAGAGGTACTTAATAATAATTGGCTCAATATGAACCATCAAACTATTCAATTCTACACTAACCATGGAAGATTTGCAAGTTACCTCTACAGGTTTGCAACTCGTGGTTGCAACCTGTGTCGCTTCTGCGGAATGGTTGATGGTGCTAATCATTATATATTCGCCTGTCCCATGCTAGAGACTGAAAGGTTGCAGCTCAGACTTGCCATTGGAAGCAATTGCGGCTTCTGGCCATTTGACAACAGATGACTTGTTCAGGACAGGGCGACCTATCCGAGTCCCTGGTAACAAACAGACCTGCTGCTTTTCCTTACTTTTGTCCTTGTGCTTGAGCTTCTTTTGTTGGCTGTCTGCCATTCCCTTCCTGGTGCTATCCTGAGACTTTTACTCTTTTGCCATTGTCTTTTGCCTTTTGTACAGTACATACGCCTACTGATTATATACTGTGTTTGTGATAGGGTGCAAGCATACTTTTCTCATATGATATTGTATATACTCTTAGTTTAAATGGCTATAGTGTAATATATAATTAATTGTAACTCTCATATTTAACTAGTGTAACTACTTCCTGATTTCTCACGATTTTATATACCTTTCTGTATATATTCATCCATTTTCTCTGCTGTAATCTTACTATAGATATATAGTAAGATTAATGTAAGATTAATTACTGTACTAATAACACATACACACCATGGATGTATTATTTTGCCTTGTAACTGTACAGGTACGTATACCTGTAAATTATAACACATATTATTATGTCACAGGTATGACGTTATTCTTGCGATACTCTGTAAAATACCTGAAACTATACCTACGCTCTCTACTACTATAATTTATCTGTATCCTATTTTGGTAACGCACTCAATCTCTCGTATGCTGTACACTCTACCTGGTTATGCCATGCAGAACCGTGCATATACTGTACTTTGTACTTAATAAAGATATGAATGAGTGTATCGGCTCCATTGTAAACCTGGCCGAACCTCTTTTTTTTCATATCCATCATTGAATGAGTCTGAAGGAAAGGCAAAATATACAGTAATAGAATTTTTAGAAGCAGAATGACAAAAGCAAATTAGGACATTCAAAGTTGCATTAAACTTTACACGATTATATAGGCATACTGTAAATCTTTATGAAATCGTACAGGAATTTATCTTAAACAATAAGATATTGTGAAAGAACCGGTCGGAAGCAATTAATTTTGCAATTGTCTCCGTTCGAAAATATCATTTCCATTATTGGAAACAGTCCGAAACGTCAATATTGTAAACACAATACACACTAATTTTTCTTTACTATAAAATCCCTTTCTTATTAGCTCAGTGTCATAAGTTTAAATTACGTTCCCCAAAATATAGTTTAAACTATGTACTTAATACAATGAAATGAACAATAATAGAAAATACAGCATTTTATACAAGGGGGCCTTCCATTATTTACGTGTACAGTTTAACTGGTAGGTTCGCACCCCGCCAACGTTTCTTCACCTAAACATGGGCCAGAAAGTCCTTCCGGTTGTCATCCCCTCGACCTATGATCCCCACGTGTCCCGTTGTCATATACAAACAAGAAACAGGGGTCTACGAACTGTTGTATACGTAATTAAAGGAAAATTAATTGGCTAAAAGTACACTATACACAACAGAGAAGATCCAAAATGGCTCAGAAAATATAAAGCTATGTCTATGTATACAACAGACTACGCTTTAAGACCATTTCACAATATGTTTTTTTAGAAATTTGCTACGTTATGAAACAGTTCAATTTGAAATGCCATGTTTGTGAACGGATATCGATTTTGTTTTCGTAAGAACTATTTTCCTTCCCTATGAATTACATTCATATGTCATAACAATGGCATGACATAACCACTTTACTGATCTTATCTTTTTGCAGAAGGGAAATTTCTCAGTACAATTAGAATATTTTCGTTGTTTTAATGGCGATTCCGACCTTTATTTCGATGACTACTGTGTATTTATGTCTTATACGATCATAAATGACGTTGCCCGGTAGATCGCGATCTACCGGTTGAAAAACATTTATATCGATGATTCATGAAAATAATAGGCGAATCGCAATCTAAATTCTTCAAATGTTTTTTTAATGATTCTTTTTAACCACGTTTTTTTTCCTATTAATTTTATATTTGAATTATTAATAAGTATTTTTTTTTATTTTTCCGTTTTATTTTGAGAAAATTCGAATCTCATTTAAAAAAACTCTCATTTGTTTCCTGATTGGAGTAAAATTTTTAAATCGTGCAATGATGATTAAGTTAACATAAATACAAAAATTACGTAAAGAACCAATCACAGAATTGCTTATATATCTCTTCAAAGTTAATCACGTCTAACAACGTGATTTCGTTATTTAAATAAAAACTTCTTATTTCGTATTATTGTAAAAATATTTAATAAAATAATTTTCGATTCCGAATAATTTTTCTTATGAATCATTCGGGGGAAAAAATTTCCAAATATTCTTAATTTCACGTAATTAATACAAGTGTTTATGGTTTTAAATTGCATCATTAATGACGTTTTAAACATTCGTCATTTTGCGTTATCTATGACATCACATCCGTTACCTACGTCCACTCACTAAAGGGAAATTTCCCTATATGGATATAAACCAAAAAAAAAAAAAATATTTCTACCGATCAGCAAGATATCTTTCGAATATTTTTAATAAAGCTCGACTTATAAATTAATTAATTAACACCGCGAATATATTTATCGCGGTGTTAAATTTTTATTTATTTATAAACTTACTATCGTTTGTTAGTAGGGAAATTTCTTGGAATGTGTTCGCCTCAATATCCCCACCCGTTTTAACTTTATATGGACAGATCCAAATTTGGAGGAAGCAGAAGAAGAAGAAGAAGAAGGTTGCTAATCGTCGAATTATTTTTTTTGAGATATTTTAAATTACATATACATTAATAATAATGATTTAATCGCTAGTTTTATTCGAAGAAGATCGCTTTGTAAACCAGACGATTGAGCAAGTGACAGTTGCAAGGTGGTTTCGTGATCGATCAATCGATCGAAGTTTGATAATCGTTTGGATATAAGTAAATGTTCTGATCAAATAACTCAATTAGAAAACACTTAATTGTGATTAAGGTGAGTTAAGTTTATTTATTCGTTTAATTGATTTAATGATAATTAATTAATTATGATTAAATGCTTCACTAATAGGTTCAATTGATCCTAAATATAGGCCTATGTTAAATTTCTTAAGTATTTTTTTTTTTTATTTAAACAATATTAAAGGATTCAGTTTATTATGTAATTATGTCCTTTTGTAACAATTAAAACTCGTGTATTTTGATACCATATACAATTTTAAAAATACATTTTTACTTAATGTTCGATCAGTGATTAAGATTTGCAGGAAAAACATATTAAAGCGATGGTCGAGTGGATGGTTGTGGGTTCGCACTTCGACGTGCCGGCCGCACTGAGCTTTCTGGGATTTTAGACGTTGGTTGCGTTCGGCAGACTCGACGGTTGAGTATTTTTCTGCCGAATGTTCTCTACGATAGCGTTCTTTTGGAATGTGTTTGGTGTTTTCATGTCACATTTGGTAGTGTCTTTTGTTCACGCTACCTATTGCTACTTGAAACTGATCACTGATGGCCTTTTGTTCCGATGCGATGTTGCTTGTCGTTCGGCAGATATAGGATTCTACGTAACGGCTATCGATTTGTTCGGTTATGCCTGTTGAGTCACCCAAACCCAGCCATTGCCTGTTGTTGTATTGCTGTATCCCATCAGTCCGAGCCAAACCGAACTAATAATAAAGATCGGATTGATTTTGTGACACAGTATGTGTGGGTCGCAAACTAGCAGAGTAAATTATCTGGATTGCAGCCTTGATAATCTCTTTTCTAAAAATCAATGTTTTATAATGTCTTGCAGGGATTAAAATGGAAAAAATTCGAACTTCTAACTGTTTACATAAGTAGTAAAGGCCTGGCAACAAAAGGGTTTTTTAGAGTGCTTTTCTAGTTTACTGTTTACTGAATAATAATGAATATGGCCATGTTTGCTATACATCTATTTGACTGGCCCCTTTCTGCATTTGGGATCCCTACCTTACCCGGCTCTGTGATAACTGTGGAAGTTATGTTTTGCCTGTTATAGTTTAATTTGTAGTGAGGTTAGGTGATTTAAATGGAGAATTGGGAAACAAGGTCTTAATTCAAACTCGTAATTTGTATTGATACCTACAACTTTCAAGTATTTGTATTGTTTAGCTTATGTGGAAGATTGGCATTTTCCCTTGATTCCTCTAATTGCCTTAAATACCTATTTAAATTAGCATCACAGAGATCTGGAAGGTTTTTCACAGTAAATAGTGAATCTATTAGGATATATTTCAAAACTCCACTTAAAAATCAGTGAAGTGGAAAAGATTTATACAAAATGTTTGAAATCTCATTACGTCAACCAATGAGTTCGACAGACATGCAACACGCTCATTACCACCGAATGTCGTCAAGTATATTGAACTGCAACATACACGTGGTGAAAGAATTTTATTTCATTGTCAACGATATTGTAGACTAATTAATGGCATTAATAATAATATAATATATATCTGAAAATTGAAAATGGTGAATTGTTATAAAATTTAATAGAAAGGGAATCAATAGAAATAATTTATTAAATAAATTATACAGAATTAGATAACCTAATAAATAGGGTATAACAATTTACAGGGCTTATCATACCAAGGTGACAGAAAGAAGGACCAGAACTTTTATACCCTAGAATTGTTATACCCTATTTATTAGGTTATCTAATTCTGTCTAATTTATAGTCATAGGCAAAAAGCATTGTTTATTATTAAAATAAATTATGTTTAATCATTTTTACATGCTTAAAGTTTATGATAAAGAATAATTATTGTTAAAATTATTATTTACAAAACAAATATTTCTTAATAATACATGGCAAACATCACAAACTTTGTAGGTTTAACATGTTCTCAATCTTCATTATGATTATGGTTTTCTCTTAGTGTTGAATTGGCTGTGGCATATTTCTACGTGCTGATCCAGTCCAATTTAAATTGCTTATAAAAATAAAATTACAACGATCTTTATTGTATTCAAATCCGGATCTGTCATAGTGATATCACTGTCAGCTAGATACTATTTAATAACACTTTCTACCGTTTCCTGAAATGCCTCAATTATTAGAGTGGTGATGATTCTGTGCCTATTTTGTATCATACATCATAAATTTTGAGATATTTTATCAACTCATAATTTTACTGCAAAGTTTAACTGCATAAAGAATGTATTTCTCATTTTTTCCCACTACAAGAAAGTATGTAATAACTGAATCATTACATTAACTTTTGTTCACTGTAGATGAGGATTAAAAAATAGCTTCAGGACATTTTGATAATGATTTTGCACTTTAGCATTTTTTTTGTTATTGAATTAGACCGGTCAAGAATTATTTTAATTTTAACCCAAATATTTCACAATGTTATAAATAAAATTATTCTATAAGATAAATAATAGATTCAAATGATTAATTACTACTTCCGTTAACTGGTTTTGCATGTGTTACATTTGAATTTTTGTAAAAACCTGAAGATGGTCACTTTAAAATGACCGAATATGTTTGTTTTTTATTTATACTGTAAAGGTTAGTGTTAGGCTATAAACTGCTGGAGTTTTGGTTTTTTGAGTGTATTTAAATCTTTGAAAGTATTGTCTATTCAGTAATTTAATGATAAATATTTATAATTTGAACAACTGATTTATAGAGAGAGACTATTTTGTAAACAATAAAGGAAAGAATGTCAGATTTTGTTTTATTCTTTAATTTAAAAAATACAAATTTTATAATGAGACTCGACAATATTAATTTGCTACATTCTTTAATTAATGCAGCTTCTGTTGTATTTATTTTTCAGTTTATCGATCAGTAGTTCTGTAATTTCTTGGGAATTTTATAAATACTGAAGGTTTTTTTTTTTTAATTAAATTGTTAAAATTTTAAACCAAATTAAGCTTGTTATGAGTGTGTAATTACAAAAATAATGCATCTAGAATTTTTCTGTAAACAAAAAGACTACAGTTTACAATTTACATTTGGATATAAAACATTTTAAAATTCTTATTCAGTTTTTGAGAAAATAAAATAAAATTTTATCTAACACAATTTCAGAAGAAAATATTCAAGAATATCACATTACGCTTTCAATAATTTATACTTCGAGGCCTAAACCGATTCATAAAAGTTCTATATTCTGTATCCACAAGAGTCAGACTGTTGTATCGCATGCAAATTCTTTTATTTATTTTACTAAATTTAGACTATTCTGCAATGTTTCAAAGTTGTAAAATTTCTTTTGAATAAATAAACATTAGATTGCAAATTTAGTTAAGTTTCTCGACTGTCAAATTCTAGATAGCTAAGAAGTCTGTTGTAGATAAATCTGTAATTTGTAAATTAAATTTATAGCCTTGATTAGAAAAAAAAAAACCATTGCTGGAAATTGTGAAACCATGTCAGATGATATATTACGGAGGATAATTTAATATTATCGGGCCATATTTCTAGTTATATCAGTGTCAGAACCTAATATGGAGTGATCGTTAAATTGTTTCTTTAAAAAGTAATAATAAGAAAGTTATCAAATTCTGTTTGTTGACATACATTTAAGGATGCTTTTTTTTTTGTAAGAAAAAGTAATGTTTCCTGTTAGATAAGTGAATACCTTGCTTAAAATGTGCAGTTTTTGAATATTAAATCTGGAATTTGATTATAATGAATTTTAATCAGAAAATTTTTACAGTAGATTTGGCATTTATCATTTTTCTGCAGCTAAACCGATTCATTTTGACGGCTTCTTAGTTTAAACAATTTAAAAATTATATCAATGTTTAAGGTTATATATTACTTTTTTGCTGAATAAATACACAATTGAATGATTTTACCGATTAAAAAAATAACAAATAAAGTAATTTTGGCCATCAGCATTTTTTGTAAAATTCTCCGAGGATAATTAACCTATTTATAATAAATGTCAAGCTTAGTTCACCGTGTACATAATAGGAAATGTAAAATCGGCTTCGATCCATTGTACTTGGACCTACATATCTCTGCGACGGTAAATTCATTAGAAATAATTTCTCCGGTTATTGAGGCCATCTTTGGACGGCCATCGGGTCAGTGTCAGTATAGCGGCGGCATTGACATCCTGACATAGTTACCGTTTTCATAACGGGTTGCTCAATATATTATATTCTCAAGAAATCGGAAAATGTCATTTCTTCGGTAGAACTCCCACAGATTAAAACTAGATTTGTAAACCGAAGATGGCAGATTGCAGGTATGCTTTAATGCAATTTATGTTCTGTTTCTGTTAAGTAAAAATAGATTTTGTGTTAGTTTACGGGCTCTAAATTCCTGCAGATAGCTTGAAATCACATATTTAAGATTAGAATTCTCTACTTAATTTTCTGTTTTAAACTGTTAATTCACGAATTCCACATACTATAATTGCATTTAATTGGCTAAATCTATGCATCTAATTGTCTGTACTGTTCTTAAAACAGCATCATGAGCACCCAAGACAGTCTAGACAGGGAGATGTCTCGATTGAACATCAACAATTACGCTCCACAACAATACTCCCCTTCACGTGGTAAGAAGATCGCACCGGTGGTACCACCCAAGAAGAAGAAACCTGAACAGTACATCCAGACCAACAATAACGAACAATCAGGTGGGGAATATTTTTATTAACAGTCTAATTTTATCGAGTTTATTATTTTCTATTAAACTCTGCCCGTCCGATTTTCCTGCCATATCGTTAAATTTTTAAAAGTGACGGGGTGTAGCAGTAACGCGTGCAGCCAAAAACTATTTTAGGAGCGGTTAGAAGACGACATTAGGCTTTCATGTACGGCAGTCTCCTCGATATGGACAACGTGCATATGTCCAACATCGAGAAGTGGAAACTCAAGAAAGCTGCCGGTAAGATACACGAAAAATCGCGTGCATTTTCGTAATCGTTTACGTAGACGAACCGTAAACGTGTCCCACTTCCGCCGGAAGCGGATCCCGTCCGACTTACGCCTCGCTTCTAAAATTGGTAAATTATGAGGTTATTTCGAACTTTAAATGTCTGGCGAAGTGTCCAAAAACAAGACGGACCGGAAGCGATCGGGCGAGGTTGTACGCGCGATCTATTTAAAAACAAACGAACGAGAAAAAAAATGAAAACAATAATTAAAATTCATTATAATTTTCATCGTTTATAAAGATGCATTCGACTTTTCGTTATTATTATTATTCGATGTTTATTCGAAAATTCGATCCGTTATAACAATTAAACTATAAATATACACGCGAAACAGATATTTATTGGTGTGTGAAGATAATTCGAGGAGTTGTGTGAAAATTACGCCTGTTTTATTGAATTCTTTGTCTTAAGAAACGTGATTTCAAGTCGAATTTATATTTAGTACGTTAGAAATGAGGTGACCAACGTCGGGTAATTTAATTTTGAGTTCCTTGAATAGTCAAACAATTACTCTTAATTGTATAAAGGAAAAATTAGTTATTTATTCGACGATTTTTTTCTTTTCTTTTATAATCTAAATTTGTACTGCTACATTTACAATTTACATAAGTTTATGTGTAAATTTTTTCCTCAATTTTTATTGAATTAAGAAATTATTTTGTTAGCATTTAATTAAAGGGCTGTCTTTTCAAAAATAATAATAATAATTCTTAGTTAATTAGTTACAATATTTATAGTAATTTATTTTTTAATGTTTATATTAGCATACTCGTATAGTCAGAAGAGGATGTAGAATTTGTAGTTACTTCATCCTATTTAGTTTTATGTATTATATTTTATTACTTGTAACGGTATATATTTGTAAGATGGAATTAATTTTAAGGTAGTAGTCTCTTTGTTCACGTCTTTTCTGTTTTAACTTTTGCCATAGGCAGTGTTTAAAAATTATGTAATCGTCTTGAACTGTATAGTCATTTCCCATACGAGTATACTTTATAGTTATACTGTTAACATTATTTCTAAATATGAATAATGGTTCTCGGATATCGATATTTTAGTATAATTTTGCTAAAGAGAAATGCAACGTTCGCTCGGAAAAATATGGTTGCGCGTGTCGAATTTTTATGACAAAAATGCCAGTTTTTATGAAATACTCTGGTTAAAATTTTTCTCAATCTGCCAATGTATATCAAAGTTATATGTAGTTTTCTGCTTTGTGGCTACTCATTTTACAATCCTACTTTCACAGCCAATATAAATTTTCTATTATGATTCTGTGAATTAGCTTTTTTTTTTTTTTATCATATCTGTATGGTTTTATATAGCTGTAATTAACACTATAGAGTTTATGGCATAGTTTGAGATATAGAATGACATATTTAACAATTTATTTTCCAGGAATCAATTAGTTGTAAGTTAAACTAGGCCTATATATATATTTGAAAATGCTTTTTAAGCATTAGATTCTCATATCAATAAATGCAGTTATTCTTATAAGAAAGTGTTTTTTTTTTTTTTTTTTTTACTGAAAGATGACAGCTTTCTTCTCCAGATTTGAGGCATTTAACTGTGATGTTGCATTTCAATAAAACAACAGATAATCTTTAAACTTGGTAGCAATCAATAAAACATCTAGAGTCTAATTAGCATAAATGATGATTATAATATTTAGGTGTGCAAATGCTAGTAGTCTGGTCTGACTCCTTAATTTGTTTTATTAATGGTTTAAATTTGTATGAAACATCAGTTTTAGCATCTTACCAAATAACACATTTCTACTCAATTCGCAACATATTGTTAATCTGATTAATTACCAAAATCAAATTATAAATTTACTAATTATTATTTGGTTATTTAATGTATAAAGCAGTATCATTAAGAAATCCAATCATCTGTATGTGTGCAAGAACTATTTTGTGATGCAATACGCAAACAATTGTGTTATTAAAACTGTAATTTATGTGCACAAGCCTGTTAAAATCAGCAGATTCATAATTCCTTGAAGTGTTACAAACAGCAGGAAGTTTTTACAATTCACCAAACAATAGTTTAACAGATTGGTTAAACCGATCATTAACACATCAGTTAACTGCTGTTGTAACCTGTTTTGGATTTTCTATTTTAATAAAGAATTGAAATAATTATTAGCAGTTAAATATCTAAAAGTTGTAATAGTCATTGCATATTCTTCATCTTGTTATTGCGCTCGTCAGGACTAGCTTCAATTGGGATAATCTATCTCTTTTTGTATAAAGAATACTGGAATATAAAGAGTATTTTTAATAGGAATAAATTGATTTAGTCTAGAAAAATCATTATTTTAATTATCAAATGTTGAATTTTCCAACTATGCTAAATAATTCAAACAGTAGACAATCCTTTATATGAATAAATCTCTAAATGACAGAATCATAACTTGTGCTAAAGATATGGTGGACAGGAGGAAACTTTGAAATTATAAATGTATAGAAAAGTGTATATTTTTGGATTCTGTGGAAAAAGACAAGAAAATTTTATGTAAATTATTTTTTATAACAATCATCTATTAAAAATTATGGACAGTTGAAACAGACATTATTCAAATTGTCGACTAAATGTAACTAATAATAATAATACAATAATTAACTATTATTACTGTTTGCTTATTTTTTTTTAAATGTTCAAATTGTTGACCATCATTTATAATCATTTATTTATTCTTTTTACAAAACTCTACCTAACTCTGCACATTTTAGTGGTCACTGGCACACAGGCTTTATGTATTCTCTGTTTCCATGCTTTCTTTTGGTAGGAACATCACTTTTAATTTGACACATTCTCATAGAAAGTAATCAAGAGATGGAGATTAGTTGAACGAGGGGACTGTCAAATGGATTCTCCTTGTCCAATCCATCTATTATTGAATTCCTAGTTTAATAACATATGCTTATCTTCCATAAAATGTGGAGCAATTTTGTTGCTGTGTATGATGATGTTGTTTAGAGAAGTAGATTAAGTAAGTGAAAAGTCATCATGACTATTCAAATATTTACTTCTATAAATAAATGATTTATATTCATTTGCTAAAACTGCTATTTATTTTCCGATAATTGTTACAAAATAACATTTTGTAACAATTTTTTTTTTAAAGTATATTTGTTGAAAAGTTAGATCACAGTTTGTTAGATCACAATCTTATCAAATAATAAATAAATTGCAAGTTTTCTAAATGTGGAGAAAGAAATTTGTTTACTTGAATGTTAATCTGATTGATTTTACTTTTATTTTACAGCAAACACTGTTTACAGTCATTATTCGCTACCACCGGAAGATGATCTTCCGCCACCGCCACCTCCTCCACAGACTACTTATTCGCCTCCAAATAATCAGGCTTTTCCTCCTCCTCCACCACCACCACCACCTCCGGAAGATCTTCCGCCTCCACCATCTCCTGTCAGTTCTACGTATGCTACCCAATCGAGTTATGCCACATATAGACCACAGTCATCTGCTGTAAGTATAATTTTTGTGAAAATATAAATAAATGAAAGATTTGTTACAAATGTTTTTGTTTTTTGATAATTTGCAACATTGGATATTTTTAGTATATTGAAATTTTGCAATAACAATATCAGTACTTAAAATTAAAGGAAATTTTGCAACATTTATCAATAGCTTTATCAAATACGTCAACAGCTTGCATTTGTTATTGTCATTCTTAATTATTTTCCCTGAATACTGAGCACTTTCTAGATTTTTATTTTTTAAAAAATCAATATCTTAAATGTTGTAATGAAGCCTTGCAAAACTAAATTTAGTGTAATTGCAGTTTACACAATTGTGTTCCTGGAATACACTTGTAAATAGAAATACATATAAATTAATATTTACTTTCCCATAAAATTAAATGAAATTTTTAATGAAAATCTATTTTTAAGAAATTCAACTGAAAGCTATTCATAAAATGAAGTTTAAAACATGCAAATAATACTAAGTTGATTAATTATTATTATTTTTTTTTTTCTTTTTTTAAGTTGGTAGTTAGTTTTATTCTTTAATAATCTGTATGAATTATGTGTATTTTGTTAATTTTTATATAAATATCAATAATAACAATAATTTATTATAAAGACTTACATTATAAAAATGTGTTTTTTTTGGAATCACATGAAACAAGACTGCATAAATTTTACGTGGAAAAATATCAAACTCTCAAAAACTGTTAGAAAGAATGTCAAGAAATATTGTTATTGATAGAGTAGATGTAACAAATTGATCAGTACTGCTTTAATAAACATGCTGCATATTTAAGTTTACAAAACATTGTAAGGATGGTTGTTTATGCTTCTTTTAATTTTGCTATTTGTCTTATTCATCACTTAAATCGAGAGGTTAAAATGGGACACGGGAAAGAAAAATATTGCTGGGCTCCTTTTGCTCAATCTCATTTGGTATAGGAGTCAAAGCATAAGAAGAGTATGATCTGGTGTCGAATTTAATTGATGAATTCAGAGCTAAGCTACTTTATTTAGATGAAGTAAACAAAAAGAGATGTAGATAACATATACAGGGTTCCTATACACCTGGAAAGTCAGGAAAAATCAGGGATTTACATTAGTGTTCCGAAAAAGTCATGGAAAGTCGGAATTTGTTTCCTTGGTTGTCTTGTTGATTTTATTTGCTGACAACATGACTGACCAAGTGTAGCACTCTGCAGGCAGCCAGAAGTATTGTGGTACAATGCAACTGTGAAAAGGGAGTGAAGAATATTTTCAGGATCCCAAAATTTTCCCTAAAATTATAGCACACAAAATATACAAGTATATAACAATATTAATTGTTATTTTTAAATACTTTTAGATTTCAAAACTGCTTATACTTATGATTAATTATGCAGGATTATAAGTTTGAGAGAAAAATCTAATACTCTTAATAATCTAATGTTGATAAAAAATCTTTGAAATATTTTAACTTTCGATCTCTTGCAATTTACACTTTCAATTTGAGGGAAGATGTTATTGAACTGATGGAAAAAAATGATTACAAAGAACCAAAAATTATAAATAACTTGATAAATAATACCATTTGAATTAATATTATTTTTTATTTTAATAATTTTGATCACATAACAAAACAATTTTTGAAACTTTTTCTCAGTTTATTAATATTTTTAAAGTTTGGAAAATTTATTAAAGGACAAATTTAATAAATTTATACTTTTCTACATGGATTATACTGAATTCTTTTAATAATAATTAGTGACTTTTTTCAAAGCTATGAAGTTTTACGGTTATGAGTTAATAACAGGATAAATTATTATTTAATAAAACATTTTAGTTTTTTGTAGAGAAGACATACCATAATTCTGTCTTTCTTATTTTATTTTTGATTTTACTAATTCATTGATCATAAAAAATATATAACTGTTAATTAGAAAAAATAACCAGTTAATTAATAAGTTGGAGAAGCACTAACTTGTGAATGTATGTGCATAGTAAGTTGAGTAATGTTTTATTTTGTTAATGTGTCATACTGTAAGGAACGTGAGGGTCGGAATTTATACAAAGTTGGCCAGGGAATTTAAAACAAAAATTTGAGTAGGAACCCTGCATATATAAAATTTAAGTTTTATAGAAGGATAAAATGCATAAAAGTGAACTCATAATATGCAATAATTAGAAACAGAAAACCATGATGTTATAGTAGTAATGATATCTAAAAAAATTGCATTTAAGACAAAGTATTTAAAAGTTTTGAGAGAGAGAGATGATCATGATCTTCAGATATTGTAGATAATTGACAAGGAGTTAAGCTGACCAAAAAGAGCCACAAAACTGGCTTGGATTTAATTTTTAAAGAGATTTCAACTAATATCTTAGGAACTAGATTGGAATATCTGAAAAAATGGGCCCTTATTTGAACCTACTTCCTCATAAATCTTATTGGTCTAAATTTAGGCATTTTTCTGTTTTATCAGTGTGATTTGAGTACCAGTAAAGAAACTCTGGATGTTTGGTAAATTTCTTGGAGAATGTTTTTGACATTTTCTATTAGGAAAGATCTCTTTGACAGATTTACTTTCACTCACTCACTCCCTTACAGATGCTTACCATCATGGGTCCATGTACAGTGCATTCTAAATCAGCACAGTCTTATTTTATATATTTTAGAAATGAAAAGTAAGCATTTAACTAAAGTTAACAATATTTCTAACAAAGAACAAATGCATGAAATTCTGTTAATACAATGAGATAATTAACTTAATTAATGAACAGTAGTAATAATTCCCAGTACATAAAATAAATTGTCTTAAATAAACTTCACTGCAACATTAATCTCTGATGATGCAGTGTAAGCCCACAGGAGGATGCCTCTCCTGCAACCTCACAATATTGCAGCATCAGACTTATCAGGTTGTCTTTCTGCACCAATGCCTTGTTATCTTCCTATATTCCTTTGTGGTATTACTGTTGTTCAGACTTTTTGATCAATTTTTGTATAAAAAGTGTCAGTTATGGAAGTTTATAGTATAAAGATATTTAATAAATAACCAGCACTGAGTGCAGCATTTAGAAGCAGGGCTATAACCATTGTCCCACAGACCCTGTGATGCAGATGGGCCCAATAATATTTGGAACCCACAACTGAAAGAAATTTTTAAATTGGTAATAAAGTATACGTAAGATTTAACACAGAATCTTCTGTAAAGAATAAAGTTTGAGAACCACTGATTTATGTTGTTGATAATAAATTTGTTTGTTGCACTCAAATTAGTTGGAAATGCAAGTAATTATCAAATGTTAATTATGTTGGTTACACAGAAATATAAGAAAAAAGAAATGAGCTGAATACAATGATTAAGAGCGATTCACAGCATGCACAATAAGGATGGTAGCATCCTGATCCAGTAAAGTAAAATGACAACCATATGTACAATTTCTACCACAGTTTGAACAAATAACAAAGCACGTCTTATAACACTGACATCTTCTAACATCATAGTATACATACTAAAATAGTCTAACACTGCTCTAAATAAAAGATGATCAGTCAACCAGCAGACTGTAAAGCAGTTTTAAGTAAAAGAGAATTCTAGTATACAAATTTGAAGAAAGTATAAGTATACAAATATGCACAAATAATTATTTCAAACAAAAATATTAATGCAACTACAATTTCTATCTGATGATCCAACTTTTCAAAATCAGATGAATGGTTGATAATTCATCCATGTGGCCAGCACATTCAGCACAACATGCTGGGTTTTGACTTATATATAGCATTTAGTAATGAAAACAAAGTGCCTATCATGTGGATGTGTCCAGAATCACCACATAAATTCAAAGAATTTCAAACTATTGTTTATGTTGAATTGTGTAAACTGAAATCAACTGCCACTGGAACCAAGAGAAAGATACTGAAATTTAAATGGTTTGTAAATTAGTTGTAAATTAACAGTTTGAAAATTAAAAATTACCAAGACTTAGAAAGACTTTTTAAATCAATGACAGCTGAAAAACTTGATTTTGACAATGTACCAGGTCAGGGCTAAATGAATGTGAACAAAACAGTATAGTAAAAATTACAGTCAATATAGAAAGAGTGAGTACATCTTCAGCTCATCATTTAGAAAATAAAAGACCTACAGCAATAAGTAGCGGTACATTTATGTATCTTCTGGTCATGTGTTTCTGATGAAAATTAATCTTTTTAAAAATACAGGCTAACTAACTAGTATAATACATTTATAAATGATTTACTCAATAAATTTATTAGTATTCTAGTTTAATAAACAAAAGGCAAATTTTGTTTGTAGCAGTGTTACATCTGTGTGAGGCATTTGTTGGATACACCTGTGTTTTGACTAGCAGCATTATCTTTTCTTTCAACTTTTCTTTGGACAATTCTTTCATTTCATTTATGCATTTTTTTATGAATCCGTTCTATCGATTTATGTAGAAAAACTAATGAAAATCCACAAATTTCTTTTGAATGACCATAAATCTTTCTTTTTGCAAAGGAATCTGTGATGTCATTATCTATAGAGCAGTCCACTACCAAAACACAACAATACATTTAATTGAGTTCAATTACTTTCATTTTGAAAATAGTAAATTAATAAAACAGCTTCTTTACTAAAAAATACTTGATCTAAATAATGATATGTGACTGGCTAAAATTGGTGAAGTGGTGTTATTACTATTTAATCAATCTCATCACCTGAATCTCAATAATTTACTTTTATCACATTTGGTTTTACACCAGTAATGATCATATATGAGTAAATATCATGTATGAGTATTTGCAAAATACTCATACATAATAAGACTTTTTAAATACTTGCTAAGTATTCAAAAAGTCTTATTAATATTATTTTCCATCTACTTTTGATGTTTCTTTGAAATATAAATATTGTCTCTCTAAATTTATCACTAAATTATTTTGTTACAGATTTGTAATGTCAACAAAAGTAATTCTTAGTAGAGATGTTAAGAATTACTTGTTGTTGTATGAGATAAATTTTTTCACTTTCATAAATATTTCTGTAAAGTATGATACAATTATTCATAAATAAAAAAATAGATTTTGTTAATGGATTTGTTGACACCATGACAGAAGCAATTATTCAATGTGTATTGTCACCACTAACAAAGGCATAAACATTTTTCAATGTTTTCTTAAATTAACTGAGCATGGCTGGGTACAATAGCTAGTTAGAAATTAACAGAAGAAAAAAACAAAATTATATTTATTAATATATATAAACCAGTCTTACTAAAAACTATTTTGGGTTGCATTTGTGTCTGAATGCATTAAGGATCATCTTGAGATTTATTCCTGAATCTGCAACAAGTGAAAGGGAGGACCCTAAAGTTTTTCCATTAAGGCCCTGCTTAAAAGGTAATTTGCGTAGCGGTGCAACTTGATAAGAATTGAATGACAAGGTTTTAAGAGAGAGATTCCTTTTGTTCAAATTAATTATTAATACTGTATTAAAAGTTGTATTCTTTGGGATATAATTATCAATATTGTATCAAAAGTTATATTTCTTGCAATACAATTATTAATAGTTTAAGTAAATTTCAAGTTTCAAATAAAGCTAGATTTATATCAGGATTCACACTTGCATACAAACCGCTACAAAGTCAATATGACTTGGCATTTGTAATCTTCTTACAGTTGTACATACAGCATGTCCCTTTCAAACCTACCACATTTCAAAACATCACAATAATTACAAAGATAAGAAAATTAATTACACAAAACGCAAGAACATGTCAAAACATTTATTTAGCACCCTTTAGTGGACCTTTGCATGAAAATCATTTGTAGCGTGAACAAAATCAAGTCTGTATTCAATTTTAATATTTTTTGTGTATTTAATTTTTCGATCTTAAATCATTTGATTTGATTGTTATTAATATTTCATTTCAGTGGGAAAAAAAATCAAAAGATCTTTTCCAACTGTAATGCTTGAGATTATACTTTTTAAGAGCCTAATCTAGATGTTGAATCATTCCAAAAAATTTACTGTAATAAATAAATAAATAAATTCACACTGTATTTTTATTACAGAGTACATATGATATTAATTCTATCTATGAACCAATTACGCCCAGACCACCAAGTCAGATGTCTACACGATCCATCTACAGTACAGGAAGTGGAGGTTCCTCTCTCTATTCATCGTACTATCCTGCGAGTGGACGAGGACGAGGTGGCGGAAATGTGCCAAATCAATCTCACGGAATGACCGGCAAGGAGGCAGAAGTGGATCATTTGACTGATCTTTTAGTACAGAGCATGGAAAATTCGAGTGATCCCGATTTTTTTGGTGAGTGATATTATCATAAAATTTTGGATTCTAACTATATAAATGCAGATTTGCATTATGTTCATTATAAATCTGCTACAAATATGAACACTCCTATTTCAGCAAACTGTAAGATTTTAACAAATCTTGCAGTTTGTAAAATATACTCAATCTTTGTTTTATAAATATTCACTTAACAATTTTTTATATCAATACATTTTCTTAAAAATTATTACTTATTTTCTTATACATTCCATAAAGTTTTGTGACAATGAAAATAAGCTGAAGTATCTCCACAGATATCGATATATTAATTATAACACTAATATGTAGTTTGGACTATATAGATTATAATAATAATCTATGTAGTCAGTTCAGTAATAATCTATATTTTTACATGATCACTTCAATCTATAAACTTAATAATTCATTATTTGATATTCAAACATAATACAGGCATTGTTCTCTGTATTATATGGTATACAATGAACAACAAATTATGTTTAAATAATTTCTGAGTTTATTTTTGAGAATCATAGTTTAGAATTTCTTTTTGTAATTCTCATTTTTGTTTGTTTTTTGCTGTTTACATCCTTTGGACACTAAAAGAACTTTTTCCAGCCCACAATGAGGGCCAGCTGGTAATGGACAGGGCCTGACAAATCTAGGACAGATTGCCCATGAAAAATTCCTGGGGTTCTCTGCTCAGATTTCATCCCTTAGTCATCCAATCTTTGAATGATCAAGGGATTATTAGTGTAGGTTATTGCTTAGGTTGAACATAAGTAACTCTAAGTATATATCATATTGCAGTCAATTAAATACATACAATATTGGTCTATTGATTCATAACAATAAAAATGTACTAATTTTAGTAACATTTGTTTGAAATATTTTGATATTAGCATATGGTGTCCACTATCAATAGTTGGACACAAACCAAATTATTTTTGACTGAACTATTTTTAGGATAAAATTACATGTACTATAAATGATAATATATAACTTTGCATAAAAATTTGATGTTAAAAATTTTAATATAAAGCCATCATATCGTGTTACATGATATAAATTTAAAACTTATCAGCTGTATTAATATAAAATTCAAAGTAATATGGAAAATAAATTCAAAATAAATAGAGTGGAAAAATTAATCAAAAAATTCATAAAACTATAACTTTAAATTATAAAATATATTTGTCAGCAAAAAGAAACACAAATGTTTCCATGAATTGTTTCCATCTTAATTTAAAGTTTGTTTATATCTAACCCTTGATTTACGCAAATAGATTCTGAGTTATTACTACCATTATATGATAAAATAAAGTGTAAATTTTATTCTCTGCTTGTTGATAAAGAAATAATTTTCCTTTTCTTTTTGTCTAGTTGGAAAATCTTGATTCTTTCCTTATTAAATTACCAAAAACAATAGTCTTAGTAGAATTCATTATCAGAGTCTGTTTTTTATTTATACTTAGCTAATACATTATAAACTTTCTGATATTAAATTTAATGCATACAATGTAAAGGCCTGATATAGTACAAAATGGAGAATCCCATCTTAAAGAAAAAGTTTTAAATAGTAGCAATACAGTTGCACTGATATAATAGTGAAGAACTGAACATTAATTTTATCAATAAAAATACTTAATTTTAAAATAAAATACAAAAGAATATTTAAACATAATACCATGTTAAACTAAAATGTTATCTAGTAAAATGTAATTTTGTCATGTTTTTTAACTGCATACATTGAGGGTTACATATATTTAAGTGCTATTTGCTTTTAATTTTCAATATTTACCAAAAAAATTTTTACTGTTTAATATCAATATCTATCAAATTCCGCTTTGTTATAAATCACATACAAAATGTTTCAAAGAATTTAATTAAGACAAAGCTTCTTCTATGTAGCTTATGGAATTGAATTTATTCTCAAAATTTGGTTGGTCATCTATATATATAAAATTGCTTGTCCTGACTGGCTGACTGAATGACTCACTGATTCATCATCGCCCAGAGCAAACCACTGGACCTAAAGAGCAGAAATTTGGTACACAGTTAGGGTTCGTCATGAAAACGCACACTAAGAAGGGATTTTTCGAAATTCCCAATTGGGGGAGAGAGGGAGAGCATTAAGGCTTAATCGGAAGAACGGCTTCTACTGTACTATTTTAGATGCGATTTTTTGTTTTCATCTGCGTTTTATTGGGATACGCCATGGCAATGCACACTAAGAAGGGATTTTTAGAAATTCCCCACAGGGGGTGAGGGAGAGCATTAAGGCTTAACCAGAAGAACGGCTTCTACTGTACTATTTTAGATGCAATTTTTTGTTTTCAACTACATTTAGTCTTCATTGAGTACTTAGGTGTATTAAATTGATAACATTTCAGACATTGTTATAAATATTTTTATCTATTTCGATTTTAAAAATGTTCGAATTGTTTTAAATTCGAATTTGTTATTGCATATTGGTTTGATTATAGAACGATTGTAAACGCTCCAGAAAATTGATCAAATTGAAAATAGTTCGTTTGATTCTTGGCAATTCTCTTCAGCAGTAGGTGTTATATAGACCTAACAATTACTATGGTTATTGAAATATTGAATATAAATGGGGTTTGCTTGCAAAACCTCCGCGGACGAAGTCGTGGGTAACAGCTAGTTTTACATAATATGAGATGAGGAAATTAAAAATGTAATAAAAATTGAGATCCATGATTTAATTTTTGAGATACAGTATGGTCAAAGTGACAATGTCCAAGGTTCTAGATCGAGTACACACGATCTTTTTTATTTTATAATCAAATCAAAAATAATTATTTTAGGGCCCAAAAACATTATTATTGACTTGTTAGTGCTTTTACTCAATTCTTAGTCCATGTTCAGTCAGAAAATGAACTGTGCCTAGTAAAGTGAAGACTGTACTTTTCATCATCCAATAGGATTAAATATGGAAAGTGAGCAAATAAGTCTAGTTGTATTTGATTTCCTGTAACTTGTTAATGCAAATACAAAGTTTTGTTTTCTCTAACACACTTTTTAACATAATAAAAATTTCAGTTTTTTTTTATAATAATTTTTCTGTAATTTTAATTAATATGATTTAATGAATTTTACAGAAAACCTGTGTTTTTATTTGTGACTATTCATATTTCACAGTATTGTAGACTTAAAATTTTCTTTATTACCAAATTAGTTTTTGTTTATGAATTATTTTTGAAAAATCAGAAATGTAGAACTCAGGGTACATTTGGAATTTTTTTTTAATAACAATTAAATGGTAGCATTACTAAACAACTTTATTATATTTTTCATCAATAATTTTTATCTATTTGACGACTTCAATTGTACAGTAATTGATGGCGTCTGGAGAACTGTATTATCAATATTAGGATATATAAAGAAGCTATCTAAAAAGTTATCACGAACCAATTGATAAATTTATGTATAGCATTGAAATACCTTTCTAAATAAGCCAATTCTAGGTCATGTGAATAAAGAAACAAATATTTTACAAATGTTTTTAAAAGAATATATTTAATATGTTGTTTTCCATTATAAAATATAAATAACTCATTAAACTTTAAGAGAGAGTTTGTTACATATACTTAACTTTAACTGTTAACAAAGTTAAAGAACATTGTTATTTAATATGTTTGCCACTAAACCATTAAATAACTTTTAAATCCCAAAAGCTTATATTTAAAATGGAAACTCCAGACAGATCTTTGTGAAATGTTGTATATACATTTCACAAAATAAAAAACAATTAAAAATGGTTTAAAAATACCTGTATTAAATAAATATCGTGTTTTACCAATATAGTAATCCTTCCATTTATGTGAGTGATGGTTCTACGAAAACCGCGTGTAAACGGAGCCACGGAAAGCCGTTTAAAATAAGGATCTGTTCCGCATTCTCAAATATAGTTAAAACTTTTCTACCCCGATAAGAGAAAAATATTAAAATTCTTTTTAAATATACATCTATATCAGAGGTTACTGATAGTTACATCAAAACCTCTGATCATTATCAGAGGTTTTGAGTATTATCATTTATTTCAATAAAGTTGATTATTTACAATATTCCAAATCACATTAAAGTGAATTCATGTAAATGAAGACTACATAAATGAAGGGATTATTGTACATATTTTCAGATTAAACTGAAGATCTTTAAATTATGGTAAAAATCCTATTTGAAGAATTGAATGGTAAAATATACTAATTATAATGTTGTAAATAGAAATATGTCAAAAATTATTTAACTGTTTGGAATTTTTTAATCTTACAAATCCTTGCTTCAATTCTTCACTTACACATAAATTACCATTGAAAAATTATGATGTGTTTGAATTTCAGATTTTTGTTTTTAATTTACTAAACTGTGTTTGCATAAATGATTTAAAATTTTCATTAAATGTCTTTCTGCTTTTTCCTTTCTTAAATTTTCATGTTAACTTCAATAATATTTCTTTTAACTAAATCTGTAAATTTACGGAATAAATGATAATACGGTCTGTCTGCTTGGTGTTGTCGTTCTAATGCTAGTTGTCGCTTGTGTTTGTCTTTTTTTATGCTGACCGGTAACCAATAGACGAGGAAGAGGAAGTGCCGATCATAGGTAAGACTTCTCTTTCCAACTAAAATGCATGCTAAATTTGTTTAATGCAAGATATCAAAAGTAACAGAGTACTAATATTTAACCATAATAACTTCTTTGTTAAATTGTCCCGTACGAAACTCGTGTGGTTTAATCCCATTTTAGATAACATCAAATAATTGCAATCATTTCTACAGGTATGTGCTACAAGTGCGGAGAGAAGGTGTTGGGCGAAGGAAGCGGATGCACCGCCATGGACCAGGTCTATCATATATCCTGCTTTACTTGTCACATTTGCCGTAAGTAACATTTAAATGTTTTTAGTTAGAGAATTGCTTTTAGAATACTGTTGCTGGAAATTTTCTTATACCATTTTTTAAATTGAAAACATAAAATCGTAAAGTTTGATATAAGAAAATCATAATTATTATAAAATGATGCTTCTTGTAACACGACGTTACAAATACAGTAGAACCTCGATTATCCGGACTAATTGGGGATGCAGGTAGTCCGGATAAGGAAAAATTTGGATAATCGAAACAAATACTTTGTCTTTTAATGATAATACAACACGTTTTCTTTTCGATGACATATTTGTAATATTAAAAGTAAATACTGTATTTAAATCATGATCAAATTTTCAAGAAACAAACGTTCATATTGAATTTAGACTACTACTGACCAATGCTAACAGACTACCTATTGTTTAAAAGGCCCTCTGTTGGCGCAAAAAGACTGATTTTATAAAATAAAAAGCAGTTGAAACTGCATTTTTATGAATAAAAATTTGACAAACTATTTATCGTTTTATGACCAGTAAAATTTTTCGTCGCGTTCGCGGCTTTTAAGTAATGCAGAAACCTTCAAAACACGAGGCATAGCAGTGGCCCACGTTGCCCATGCCTTACGCTGCTCTTGGTCATAGAAATGATGTAATTTGAAAATAAAATTATTTATAAATAGTAATTTTTATTATTTATAAATAGTCAAGTTATATTTTTATTACGATGCAAAATATATTTAAGAGTTTACGGCCACTGTGCCGGGTGAGACGTTGTTGAAACAAAAAAGTTATGCATTCCATCACGTACAGTACATAAACAGTATCGTAATTCACCAAGTGCAAATCAGCAAATTCGTAAAATTTTTGTTTATTTTGAACAATCCGGATAATCAAAAATCCGGATAATAGAGGTTCTACTGTAATTATACAATTAAAATACACTCATTGACAAAAATTTTTGCAGTAATCAGACAGGATTAAATGATTACAGTTGTGGCCTAATTGCATAATACATTTTCTTTAGGTATACACTCTGGTGGCATTATAGTTGTAATTTTTTGTTTGGCGGTCTTCGAACACCAGGCATGCCTGTATGACACACAGCCAAAGACATTATGCCAACAGTTTGAGAAAGGCTGTGTCCTAGCATAATGTTTTGGACCATTTTGACCCGACAGAGAAGGTGTGGGTCTTTAATGGTTGTCTGTTCCCAAACAGAGCAGGGATTCGTCATTAGTGTGAGGAGACTATTGGCAAGCACTTCAATTCTGCCTGTGGTATCGAAGGACGTAAGTCCCTGATACAGACATGCTGACACAATCTTGTATGACAGCACAGTAATACATACATTCAGGAAAACCCAAACACTAGTGTTGCCCTTCATGGCAGGGTTACAAGCAACAATTTTTCAGCTAGGGTTTTTCATGTGTGTTGCATTGCAACACTTCTTGGCAAACAGTCTCCAGATTTGTCATGTATCAAGCATTTGTGGGACCAGGTGGGACACTGGCTTCAGCCATCTATGCGTGCCATGGATCCAGAGCAGCATTCACAACATCTATAGGTAAATCCATCACGAGATAGTATCAATATATAGTGCTTCCTCCTCAGTGCACGACTATGTGTTTTTAATTTTCTTTGATGTTATGAAAAATCTTTGTGATGTAGCAATTAACTTTGTCAAAATAAAACAATATTCATGGTTTTATTTTATCAGTTAACCTATCAGATTTGATAAACTCTAGCATATCAAATTCAATTTGATTTGTATTCTCTTGAAGAATGTGGACGGTGGCACAGAAATGAGAATTTTCCAAATTGACGTCAGCGTTCACGATAAGCTTTAAAAACAAAATGTAAACTTACTGCATCGAGGACTAAGACGAACGCAATTACTACTGTATTTTTAATTGTTCGGAGAATGGCGGTATTTACACGAAATTTTGGTTTCTTTTTAGATAAAGAATTAAGAGGTAAACCGTTCTTTGCTATGGATGGAAAACCATACTGTGAAGAAGATTACTTGGTAAAATTATCATTTATTCATTTTTAACTTTTTAAGATTTTATGGTTTATTTTAATTTTGATTTATAGAATTTTCTGGAGAAATGTTGTGTTTGTGGCAAACCTATTCTAGACAGAGTGAGTTTCAAAAATAAACAAAGTAGTTAGAATACCGTTTCCAAAAAATCGGCATTAATAAAATTAACAACTTTTAATCTCAGATACTCCGTGCCACCGGCAAACCGTACCACCCCGCCTGTTTCACCTGCGTGGTCTGCGGAAAATGTCTCGATGGAATTCCGTTCACTGTCGATGCCACCAACCAGATTCACTGTATCGACGATTTTCACAAGTAAGTCGAGACAAAAAGTTCTTTCTGCTCAAATTTCTTGTTTTTACTATCTATATAAAAAGTACAAGTGAATTTAACAGTGATCTATAAGTGATTGTTATAAATCATTTGAATTTAACAGTGATCTATGAGGGGTGGATTTCTTATAATTATCAGGACTCCGACTCCCTTTTTACTTATCAACTTGTTATGTATATGAAACGGAGTCGGATGGTAAGAAATAGTCGGAGTCTGTAAATTTTTATGCGACTCCACAGCCCTGATAATTATTAATAAAAACACTAGAATTGTGTGGTTGAGGTTACGGGATGATTTGAATTTATTCATTAACCACATACTGTGTGGACTGGACTGATGTTTTATTCAATAATTGCCCACTTTGTAAAAAGAAGTATGTTCTTGCTTTTAGAAATGTGCATTTTGGCCAAATTATAGTACAACCGAAGAGGGCCAAACTAGTAAAGTATGTAAAAGTTACAATTATAAGTTATTCAAAGGAGTAATTTTACGATATTAATTGTAAGTAAACTGCTTACTTGTTGTTACCTATTATTTTTCCTTAGTAAAAATTAACTGAAGACAAATGTTATAATTCTTTAAAAAAAGCTAAAATAATTTAATTCTGATGTAGATGATAATATGTCTTACAGTTGGGCCAAAGTGCATATTGTAAAAAGATGTATGTTATTGGATAAAACATCTTCATAGGGAACAATTATTGTTTGTATAGTTTCAATAGTAAATGGTTAATGAATAAATTGAGATCATTCCCTAATCTCTACCACATGATCCTAATGTTATTTCAAATGGTTAATTTTACATTTTTAGCAAACTTGACCAAAAATGGAGAATACCTTATCTTTTATTATTATTCATCCCAGAAAATTATTTTTTTGGTTTTTTTATTGATAAAGTGAAATAATGAATTATTGTTTGCTACTGCTTTGGTATCATCAGGAATGGAAAGTCTTTATAGTCTAACAGTTTCCGCATTTGAATGTGTTCTAATGAGACACCATTCTCTGCAAATTAAGTGTGTTTGGCGTGGTATGGTCAAATTTTAATTCAATTTTTTTCCCCGAATGATATGGTTCATTTAAGTGTTTGCATTCAGTAAGTATGGTACATCATTAACTATTAAGACTATTTTAAAACAAATTTACATAACATACTCTTCCCTATAAACAGCTTTGATTTAAAACATTGTATTATCTTTATCATGAATTATTACTGCAAAATTAAATTTTATCTTCTTTGTGAAAGGCAGCATCTTGCCATCTTAAATTTTCTTCATTTTTTTAATATCCTGTAAGAGTTAATTTTTGTGGGAAAGATTTAAGTCAAACAAAAGTCTTTGACAGATTAAAATTTACTGTGTTTTGTTATCAAGCTCTTGTCAATTACTGGTTTATGTACTGGTGCATACTAAACACTAAAATTTAGGTTTAGTGTGCACCAGTACATAAACCAGCAATTGACAACAGCCTGATAACAAAAAATATATTTTGTTTACTTGTTAAAAATTTACTAGGTTATCTTGAATAAGTACATTGTTTGTGTTTAAATTTGACATATGGTTTTGGTTCCTACACGGAACCTCGCATCTCAGCTGTACTGAAGAGCCTTCTACGTTGACAGAAACTTTTCCATCGGGTAAAAAGACAACTTAAACATTTAAAACAAGACTTGCTTTTTCATTTCTGTGCGCACTTATGCTATTTTAAGCATGTACATTCCCAAACAGTGGAACATCGAGAAAGCCTAACTCAATTAATTTGTGTTTTGCATATTTAAATTTTTCAAACGTGGACATTAACAAACGAGTTGCTCTTTACTCGTTTATTTACTAACAATAGAATGTATTCACAAAGAAATGTTTCTCTCATGAAATCAATAAATCGTACCTCTTTCTAGGAAGTTTGCTCCGCGCTGTTGCGTGTGTAAACAACCCATCATGCCGGAACCCGGTCAGGAAGAGACCGTCAGAGTCGTGGCTCTGGACAGAAGCTTTCACGTAGGATGTTACAGATGCGAGGTGAGTGCTCCGGGAGTGGAAAGTGAAATTGGACAGTTATTTTAGCACAAATTAATTTTCTACCATTTGCGGTGGCCCACGTCTTTTATAAATTAGAGGGTTTAGAAATAAATAATTTTTCGTTCAAAATTAGCTCTGACAGAATTTTTTGTGCAAAGCAAGGCCCTAAAGGTTTTGTTTTAGGTTTTATTAAGTTATGGCAATGCAACACTTAGTCATCCTCCCAGGAGGTCTTTTTAAGAGTAACTGGCCCCTATTTAGGCATTACAGATGTGGAGAAAACTCACTCCACGTGCAGCTTTTAGCCCGTCCTGGTCAGGCACGAACCCACGACCAAACTCCGTTTGGGGAACGGAACTACTTGGCCACTGGTGGATTTATCTTAAAAGTCTGACTAGTGAGTCTAATATACTATTATATCCCAGATCCAAAATTAGTGAACTAATTGCATGTCAACTTTCCATTCATGTTATAATCACCTATTATAAACCAAATTGTCATATGGTATTTCGTGGTAACACTATACATGATTTTGAATTCCATAAGTAGTGTAGTGTGTAGTTAACCAAGACAATCTGTTGCTATCAAATAAACATTATGGTTCTGTTATAAAACATTATCACATTGGGAAAGTCATCATTTTACTCAAAATCTATAAATATCAAATTTTACCTGTTTTTCAGTGATTCAACTTGGACCCACCTTCAGAACATTTATTGGTTACAATGGAGATTTCTGGTGTTTTTTAAAAGTCAAATTAGTCAGGCGGGCTATTAGATTACTCAATTACTGGGAAAGTAGATTAATACAAAGATTGCCAATTTATTTAAGAGATCAGACCCTTTTCGACCACAATTATTTTGTAGAAAAGTGGTAGCCAAACTACCCATCCCAATTCTGCTTGTTTATATTACAATATACCATAATCTGCATTTTGATGATTTGTCAATTTCTTGAATTATTTTTGGTCATTAGTTTAAATGTTTTTGCAAAGTATAGTCAACTAAAATGGTTTTATTTTATAGGACTGTGGCATGCTTCTTTCTTCCGAAGCAGAAGGCAAGGGATGCTACCCCCTGGATGATCACATCTTGTGCCGTAGCTGTAACGCAAAGAGAGTCCAGGCCCTGACGTCTCGCATGACCACCGAACTGTAACGGCATTCCTCTGGAGACGTCCCGTAACTATTCCATAACCAAAGTATTCTGTCTCGCTTTTACTGGACCGAGAACGAATTCGAAACTCCGCTCGATTTCGTTCTTTGGTTTTATACGAGCTCGGTGTCTTTTTTAACTTTGCTAAAGAGTTTTTTGAATCCGCAACCGGCGGCGAGCGTGAATTTCGTCGACGAGATTCTGGGATTTAATCGTTGTTACGAGATTTGTAAGCGCTTCTGGTTTTGATTTTTTTTTGTGTACCACGTAAACGAGTAATTCGTTTCCTTACGTTCGTGGGAAAGTCGAAAAACTGCCAAAAAAAAATAATTGTGTACAGTTTTTGTTAAATAAAAGCTCCTCGATGCCACGCCGTAAGATTTCTGGCTGTAAAAACTCGACTCGCTGGCTAAGAAAATATAAATAAAAACTGGATCTTTATTAAAATTCCATATATAAACTTTTATTGGAACTAATATATATAATAGAGAAAACTCTGCATTCCAATTAAACTTAAACAAAAAAAAAATTTAACAAATCATAAAAATTAATTTTCAAGGGAAGAAAAAGAAAAAAAAAAAATCACATACTACATACTGTCTGGTTAGAATAATTTAAATTTTACATTGTGAATGAGAAACTGTGCTATATAATTTTTAAATTTTATTAATATTTTTTTTTTTCCAAGCGTACTGGGTAGGTAACATGACGGTTATAGATGAATACGGTTACGAGCAAAGACTACCTGTAAATTTTACTATTTCTGCCGAAAAAAATTTTGTTACGCCTCGTTTTTGCATCACGTCTAGTGTCCGTAGACACTCTCGTCACTGTAAGCTATGTACAGGAAAAAGTCTTCTTCATGATGTTCCTGCAAATAAACGATCGAGAGAAAAACTTTAAAATATTTGAAACTGTTTTTTCGAGAAAATATTTTGTTACATACTGTACTGAACTATAGAATGTCGTGTGCAAAACACTATCATAATTCAGAATTAATATAAAAATTCTTCAAAAAGATAAATTATTCCTATTTTGATAATTACAGAAAAACTACATTTTATATTCTTTATTACAATTTTACCAAATAATCAAGTTTCTGCATAAAATAACTCCAGTTGTCAAATTGTAATTGCAGTATGCCAAAATTTACGAGTGGAATGATGTTTTGCAGTGTAAACTTAAGTGTTTTTGACCTTGACGCATCTGCCAGAAGCCTTGATTTATTTTAGATTTGAAAGTATAAGAAAAAACCAGAGACTGCCAAATTTTTTTATACATAGAAACAGGTTTTTGATTTCCTCAAATTGATGTAAAAATGTTTACAGGTGAGAATTGTTAATAATTTATTGAAAGAAAATCCAACACTTACTTAGCAGGTAAAACATTCATTAAAATACTTGCAAGAACTATATATCTAAATGACTAATAAAACAGAAATATAGATTGTTAAGATATACAAACAGCCAAAAAGAATCAGAAAAAAATCTGACAAACTTTGAATAGGCATGCTTAAATGAAAATTATCGTCCACATTTTTAAAAACAAGTACAGGAATTACTGTGTAATGAATAGTCTATGATGTGGAAAATGAAAAAGTGTTTGTTGACCTATAATATTAACATTGTAGCTGGAAACACATTCCTATAATAATTTCAATCACAACCAACATAAAATTTACCTAAAATCTTAATATTTTGAATAAAACATATCACATTTGAATCGTGTTAAGCAGATGAGAGCTTTCTTCATGCAAGATACTGATGGTATCAAGATGTTCTAATTTTACACTAAATATTTGGAAAACAATCCAGTTGTGTAAGCAATTATCTAGTCCACTGGTTTTCAGTCTTTGTTTTTGCATGAGGAGGATAGGGGAAAAAAATGAGAGATGGAAAAAATGTGCGATAAATAGCACATGTTTTCCATCTCTGCGATTCATCTTCCATTTTATTACTTGTTAATATTGTATTCTCCACAGACCCTTCTGTTTGGGCTCCACTGGGCTGATTTTACAGACTACCTGGCTAGTTGTTCGACATTTTTGCATAGATGCTTATTTTTTTCACAGGTTCGGTACAATGTGAAAACAGAAAATCAAAATACTTTCCATCTCTTAAGCATTTAATAGACTTTCTGGATCCTTTCTAACATATTTGTTTTTAACAGACTTTCTGGATCCTTTCTAACATATTTGTTTTGAACAGAAACTAGAAGTCGATAGCCACCCTGAATTTCTATTGGCTTTGACATCTAGAGATCAATATGGCAGACAAAATAGTGTTGGTCACTTACAATTCTTAGCATTTTATACTTTTTTTTTACATGATTTTGAAAAATGCAGATGATATGTTATCAGAATATACATTTAGTCTCATTTGTATAGAATTTGTAACTGTACTTGCCATTAGTTAGCTTTAAACGTAATATTATAATGAACAATAAACACTATGTAACAATAACTGGTAAATTCAAGTTTAACTAACACTGATTCATATGACTGAAAACAGATTCAAAAAACTAAAAACAAGTAAAATTCTACTACAGTTTGTCACAATGATTTAACAGCATGATTATCCTTCCAGCAAAAATCATTAATGCTGGACATGCTTATTATGCATTCAATACAAATTCGTCGGCAAGTAACACCAATATTTATTATCTCGGGCTATTTTATGGCTATGTCGACGCTATTCAGTTTTCTCCCCGAGCCAGTTTTAGCCGCTCAATCAACCAGCTAATTATTTATTCCAACCAGTTTATTGTCTTAAAAAAATAACTTGTAATATGATAAATGTGAATTGTTTTGTTGCATCTAACTGGTGTTTGTAAAGAAATTTGCAGAAGCAGCTGGCTAAGATCACTAATCAACCATCCAAAACTTTTCCCGGCAGAAAAAACATTTTAATTTAGTTATTTACATAATATATACCATATAGTTCTTGAAATAATTATAAAATAGCTAAGAAAATGTCTTACTTAAAAAATTGTTCAAGTAAGATGCAGCTGATTTTGGTCTTCACTAACACACTTTTTAAAAATTCCTACATTTTCAACAGGTAAAACTAAATGAATTATAGACAGAAATTATTGAAATAAATAAATCTCAAAGAAATATTGTTCTTGAAATACTATACACTGTCCAATGCAATTTTTTTTTTCAATTTCAAAATAATTATTTAGAATGTATCAAATAATGTAATTTAACAAATTCATATTTGAATATATTGTGTATCGACATATTTTGACACACTAATTTATTGTGTTATTAGTAAATTTATATTACTTTCAGATTCTCATTTCTAACTAGCAAAAATAATATCAAAATATTTTTGAAACTGGACTTCTTCTATTACCAAATATTCAATTTCTGCTTGTGTAGTAGTAAGTGAATTCTACCAATTACACAAACAAAGTTGCAATCAGATTTGCTCCAGTTGAAACAAAATCTTAAAACAAACAAAAAATTTCAAGCCTATTCTATTAGAAATTACGAGATTGCAAGCAAAATTTTACTGAATATTTTCCTAAAATATTTTTCAACAGTTTCAGGTAAACAAAAGAAAGACAATACTATAGCCTTTCCAAGATATATTTTTTTTAAGTATCATTTATCGGTTTATACTTTCTAAAAATTATCTAAAAACAAAATTTTTTAACAGCTAAATCAAACAAAAACTAAGTGTTCAATTTATAAAAAATTTATTTGAAATTAAAATAAACAAAGGACTTGTTAACAGAATTATACAGAACTTTGTATGCTATCAACTTTACTTTTGTAAACTGTTTTAAATGAAAATATTGATCGTCTGAAAGTGTGTCAAATTTAAAAAAAAAAAAAGTTTCATGTTTACACAAATGCAATTCTGTTTCCATTGGTTTATTTCATGATTGAACTATTATTTGTAGAAGTTTCTTCTTGATATTTAAAGATGCTCAATTAAATAAAAGTAAGCAATAATACATCAACAGGGTATAAAAATTAATTCTTTTTTTACACAATTTTCAAGCTGCATTTCAAATTTAAATAAACATTCTGTACAAATTTAGCACACTTGTTCTAATTAAAAAGTAGTTTTTATCATATTTCAATTATTTTGTTGCTTTAATAAAATATTAAAAATCTCATGACTTCTTTTTCCTAGCCCCCATATAACAATTTATCTGATCTAATATCCAAGACTCCATTCTTTCTACTTCAAACTCCTTTTGAAAAGTTAAATCTTAACAGACATTTAAAAAAGATATTGCACTTGCACTTTGTTGTAAGTGATCAGTGTTTCACATAGTTTCATTGTGTTTGCCATGTTAATCTACTGAAGTCTCAGCCTTGTCTATTGATTATTCGCTTTCAGTTTATACAAAACAAAAATTTAAACATTTCTCAATTAGATTTTCTGGAATGCGTCCAGAAAATCAAAAATTATGTAACAGAAAAATTTTCCATTTTTATTTACCTGCAAGCAAGAACAGGGTTTTATACATTATTGCATGCTATCATAATCAAAAATTCTTTTAATAAACTACGTCAAAACTATCAGAAATGCAAAATATAGTAAATACTTGATAAAAATGTTAAAAAGTAATAATAATGAACTCTCATATCCTATATTTTTTTATCATTATCCTAAAACTGAATTTAAAAAAACCTTATAGATGAACATTCACCAATGTTGTATATTTATAGAGAACTTACACAGCTGTGCACACAATCTAAAAATGAGCAGAAATATGTTTTACTTGTATCTAAAAGCTTTACAATTTTATATACGAGACAACTTTGTAAAAAATTGGGAACTTGATTATTTAATAACTTAATATGCCTAACCAGTTGATTATTATATTAAAATTTCATTTATCAAAGACCTTATTAAAATACTTTTTATATAACATTTTATAAATTATAAAAACAAATATAATATTTTTTTCTTTACCTGATAGAGAGAACCCATTGTTGCACTTGTGGGAGGAATTACATTGTTTACAAAAAAGAATAGAGCATCTTCGGGCCTTAAGTGAATTCTTTTTCTTATTAGAAAATAAAACTGACCTACTGTAAGGTCTGATGGAACCAGATATTTTTTCTTATCCAGATCTCCAATCCTAGCCTTCGGAGCCTTTTCCACAATTACCTATGAAAAATATCAAACTACATGTAGAATTATAATTTTTCCAATAATAAAAAAAAGCAAAATATTTAAGTAAAATAATAATTTACAAATAAATAATTTTATATTTTGAAATGATGATAATAAGTGACATACTGTTAATCAGTATTAGACTAATCTTTAGCCAACCTTCAATAAACAGTACTGTATGATAATGTCAAATTATTGATAAATTTTATTAGCAGTCAAATATTAAAAATAAAGGAATTCCAGAAATTAAAAACGAATAAATAAATAAATATTTAAAAATTGCAATATACAATTAGCACCCGAACAGAATACAGTGGAACCCCGGTTAACGAACGTCCTGGTTAACGACCAAATTGGTTAACGNAATAATAACAATAATTTATTATAAAGACTTACATTATAAAAATGTGTTTTTTTTGGAATCACATGAAACAAGACTGCATAAATTTTACGTGGAAAAATATCAAACTCTCAAAAACTGTTAGAAAGAATGTCAAGAAATATTGTTATTGATAGAGTAGATGTAACAAATTGATCAGTACTGCTTTAATAAACATGCTGCATATTTAAGTTTACAAAACATTGTAAGGATGGTTGTTTATGCTTCTTTTAATTTTGCTATTTGTCTTATTCATCACTTAAATCGAGAGGTTAAAATGGGACACGGGAAAGAAAAATATTGCTGGGCTCCTTTTGCTCAATCTCATTTGGTATAGGAGTCAAAGCATAAGAAGAGTATGATCTGGTGTCGAATTTAATTGATGAATTCAGAGCTAAGCTACTTTATTTAGATGAAGTAAACAAAAAGAGATGTAGATAACATATACAGGGTTCCTATACACCTGGAAAGTCAGGAAAAATCAGGGATTTACATTAGTGTTCCGAAAAAGTCATGGAAAGTCGGAATTTGTTTCCTTGGTTGTCTTGTTGATTTTATTTGCTGACAACATGACTGACCAAGTGTAGCACTCTGCAGGCAGCCAGAAGTATTGTGGTACAATGCAACTGTGAAAAGGGAGTGAAGAATATTTTCAGGATCCCAAAATTTTCCCTAAAATTATAGCACACAAAATATACAAGTATATAACAATATTAATTGTTATTTTTAAATACTTTTAGATTTCAAAACTGCTTATACTTATGATTAATTATGCAGGATTATAAGTTTGAGAGAAAAATCTAATACTCTTAATAATCTAATGTTGATAAAAAATCTTTGAAATATTTTAACTTTCGATCTCTTGCAATTTACACTTTCAATTTGAGGGAAGATGTTATTGAACTGATGGAAAAAAATGATTACAAAGAACCAAAAATTATAAATAACTTGATAAATAATACCATTTGAATTAATATTATTTTTTATNATTAAAATAAAGGTTATACTGATAATGAATTTTACTACAGTGACAAAAACTACATGTTTCTGTTTATTCTTATTTTCATATACATAAGATGTGTCCCATTGTGATAGAAGCATTTTTGGTTGTGACAATTTTTTCATTATCAAATCTCTTCCCATAAATTGTAAATATTCAGTCAAAATTCATTACTTCTTATAATAGATTTTACCATATAATCAATGATCCTGAACAATAACATTCATGTTACTGTTCAGGATCATTGATTATTACACATATTATAACACGTGTCTTATGAATTATATTTTGATAACCTATATAGACGTACTAAAAGAACATGGAAATCATTAAAAGAACATTTAATTCAGTCAGTCATTAAGTCTTCTAACTGGTTTGTCATAGTTGTTGAAATAGCTAGCCAGTTTTATTTTCAATCTCTCCCTCAAATTCAACCATTTATTAAAGAAATACATTCATAAAATCCACAGAAATAATCTCTTAGTGTTATACATAAGCCCAGGATTATTTTAACTAAGTAATTTCTCAATTAAAATAATCCTGGGCTTATGTATAATTATGGAAATAGCTTTAAACTGCCAAAAATCCAGAGGACTCTCAGTTTATAAATGCTATTATATAACATGGATGCTATTGGGAAATTTTTAACAATTTTTTAATGTGTAGATGTTGTAGCCTACAAAAAAGGGTTGACATCGAGATCATTTTTAATGTATGGAAGATTTTTAGTAGTGTTTGTTATTTTTAGAAGTTTTACTTCATGTCGCTTGCTGTTTGTGGTTTCTGGATGGAATGAAAAGGATTTAAAGAGAAGAAAGGACTCAAACGTTTGTATTACCTTAATTTTCAATTATGAAAATAAATTACTTTTAGTGTTGTTGTTGATCATTTGCTCCACTCACTGAACATATATTTTCCCATCTACTGTTTTAGATACAAAAAAAAACTCTCTCTCATAAGCCCCTTTATTCCATATTTTGGTCCAGTCTCTCTGCACATCAAGCATATTTAGAAAGTTTGGGCTTACACTTCCAATAAAACCACAAATAAAAGCTTACATAGAATATTATGCAATGATAGCTTTTCCATATTACAGAAACCAGACATTTACCAGATGTGTTTTTGTATTACTGTTTTGATGTAGAAGCTGTTCTACATCAAAACAGTAATACAAAAACATCATATAGGGCCACGAGAAAGTTGATTAGCCACATATTAGGGCATCATGGAGATACGCTCTATTACTTTTTTTTTTAGCTTATTTTATACCAGCCTGGAATGAGACCACCCTATTGGTGCAATGTATGGGCCACAAGATCATTTTTATCTGGGAAGCTTTGATCATCAAGAAACTATATCTCTGCAATGAGCTTATGGGTCATGATGTATAAATCCTTAAAGTAATATATAAAGACCACTACTTCTACAATGTAATCCCTTTCATATGGTAAAGTAGCACTAATCTACATTCTACATAGTTGGCTATTTACGTAGCATTCAATTTGTCGTTACAGTGGAACCTCACTCAACGAGCATAATTTATTCCAGGATGTTACTCATAATTCAAAACACTCGTTAAGTGAAACAATTTTTTGCATAAAATTAATGTAAAACATGATAATCCGTTCCACGCCGAAAAAAATACTCAAATATTTTATTCAAAGAGAATTATACAATATACATTGTTAAGGAGCATGTATCATCATCTTTTCTTCTAGTGTGGAATGAGCCAACCTGGAATGCAAATTTGATTTGAAAAAAAAATCAAAATTTAATTTGGAATTAGTCATTAGATTTAATATGAGATGGCAGCATAACCTCTAGTCAAATTATTTAATTTCTAATAATTAATTATAACCTTTACATAGCCCAAGAATTTTGCATATCATTTGGCATGTATATTATATAACGGGCTATGGTTGTTGATGTTTATACATAATATGTCTGAACACAAGTTTGGAAAAATGTGTGATCACGAGAAACACTAAGATGCTAGCAAAACGAGTGCTAAACACAACTGATGTAGCATGTGAACAATCCAGGACTTCCACTCTCCTCGTCACTCAATTAATGAGTGAAGTTTCATATAACAAGTCATTTTTTTACAATTTGTTTTGCTCATTATGTGAATTACTCATTACAAGAGGTACTCATTAAGCAAGGTCCATTATATTAAAATTTAAATATATCATATCATAATTATGTTCCATCTAGAATGAACCAATGTTAAAATTTTATAACATTCAGGAATATGTTCTTTTGCCATTCACCTGATGACATTTTTGAAAAGATCAAAAGTATGTGCAAAAAACATTTCTTTTTGTCATTAAACATGGATAAGATTGAAAAGAGTGTTCTCAGTGCTAATTTATCTCAAACATTTCAACATGGTGAGAAAAAAGTTATTTGTTTTTCATATTTCCATATTGATGAATTAAAGTTTATATAGATAAAAATAAAAACACACTATGTACAATAAATGTAACTTTAAGAATTTTTTTTTAAACATTGCGTTCTTACGTAAAAATGTCTCAAATTGTTATTACTTCCACATTTGTTGTTTCAATGTTCATAAAAAGGTACACTAATGAGATTCCATTTACAGGGTAATTATATTAATTAGCAAAAATAGCATTATACTTATGGGAGATCAGGAAGAGTAATGAGTTGCTAAATGAGGTAGCAATACAGTGAGTCTACTGTGTTTTATTATTAGTGTTTAACTGCATAACTTATAATTATTCACTCTATAATTGAATTGCAACTTTATCAAGTATATTTTAATATTTTTTAATTGTTGATCAATAGTTATACATTCTATACAATACAAAGAAATTATTCATATTTTTGAAATTATATTTAGAAATTTTATGAACTATGACTATTCTATTTCTTCAAATTTGTCATTGAAACTAATTTCTTCTACAAATTGTGGTAAGTAGATTTATTTTAAAACTGATCTAAATTATTAACAGATGTAATTACTTCTTAAATATAACTAACAATGTTTCATAAGCTACTGGCAGGGAAACTTATGCACTTCATAAGTAAATATGTAAATTAAACACTAACAAAGTAAACTTTTTTTTGCCACTCACAATTATTCTGTCTCTAATTTATTCTGACAATATTTGACAAATTCTTGGTAATGCCAGATGAAATATATCAGGTGATCACAGTAATACAAAGCAAAAAGGTTTCAACATAATAAGTATTTTTTTTTATTAACATCTGCATGACAACAGTACTACAGATGGTCCAACGACCTGTTTTCCATCATAAAACGTTGTTAAAATTTTGTACTTCAAAATGTTTTTATTTTTTTCTGTCAATGCTAATAGGTGACAGTGAGAACAATTATTTGTTAATTAGTTAATCTAAACTCAAAGTCAAAATTAAAAATTTTAACATTTACATCTTAAAATGTAATAAATTGCTTTTCTTTTTACTTTTGTTGTTTATTTATAATCAATATAGTAAAGTCAAATATAAATAATAAAGAAATTATTAATTTCCCTTAAACAACTTTAGTTAAGTTCACTAAGTTACAGGGTATTTGAGTTATCCAAATAGTCAAGATCAATTTGAATAAAATAAAATTTGTCCTTCTCTAGT